TTTACCCCAAAAACTTTTTTTTAAGATTTTATGTATTTATTTGACAGAGAGAGACACAGTGAGAGAGGGAACACAAGCAGGGGGAGTGGGAGAGGGAGAAGCAGGCTTCCCACTGAGCAGGAAGCCAGGTGCTGGGCTCGATCCAATCCCAGGACCCTCCGATCATGACCCAAGGTGAAGGCAGACGCTTAACGACTGAGCCACCCAGGTGCCCCTGAAGTAGGTTTTAAATCTTAATATTTGCTTTAAAAGTTTTTGGGGTGGGGCGCCTACTTCACTCAGCATTTTCCCTTACTAGTTAAAAAAGCCTCAAGATTTAAGACAAATTAATCACTTAATTACCCCCCTTTTTTTTACAAAATTATCACCTCATTCAGAAACAATATATCAACTGTGCCTTCCCCTAGTTTTTAAATTTTGTGAGAGCAAGGATTTTATCTATGTAGAATAGATCACCATTATCTTTCCAATACCTATCACTATGTTTGACACATAGGAGATGCTAAATATGTGTTATCTTTGGTGGTTCTTAATGACTTATGGATAATTTTATAACTTCTTTAAAATTCTAGATCACTTACTTATTCATTTTTCCAATCTTGTATGTTACATGTAAATGTACTATCATGCTTGACAACCTTTATAAACCTTGCTCACCTGACACTAGAAAAGAAGCTTCTCCACATTTTCAAAAAGGCAGTAGTCTTTAACTTTGTGTTCATCTCTTACATGTATTTCAGATAAATATTCAAAGGCATTAGACTTCTCATGGGCTTATTCCCTTAAATTCATTTTCAATTTACTTAAAGCTCTATCTTCTCACCACCATGTCTTCTAAACTATCCTGATTTCTGGTATACCTGAAGATAAATTTTTCTTCTTTCTCTCATGTGTCTCATTTAAACATCATATTATACAATTGTTCATTAAAGCTTTACTTTTATCCAGTATCTATTAACATTACTACCATAATTTATGAGAATGCTGGATTCATTTTTGACATAATAAAAGATCTGTACCAGGCCAAAAAAGACAGCTATTAATCATTTAAACACCAACTCAAAGTTAGACAAAATCCCCATCTTCACTTTTACATCAGTGCTTGCACTTTCCTATGAAAAACAAAAAAGAGCAATGATCAATAATAAAGCCAGGTCTGTTCCTATCTCTCATCAAGGTCCCTTCCAAGAACACAAGAACCATCAGTTCCTCAAGGAGAGAGCCCTCATCATGAACCCACAAGACAATGAAGACCCAGATAATAGCCAGTTTGACCAGCTTTAGGGAACACTTTTCAGAGTACAACTGTCAGGGTTGAATTAGTACAAAGAACAATTAACAAGCACTAAACCCACATTATCTTTGGTCACTTAAAGGATAAACTGCAAACAGCACAGGCAGGGGAAAGCTCTTCAAGTACAGATACAATTAAAACAAGAGCTGGAAATGGCAATAAACACCAGGCAATCTGAAATGAGAAATGGGATGATCCTTTCTGAGCAAATACATATGTCAACAGGTTCTATCTACAAAACATTAGTTAACCTCCATGTTTCCAAGAGGAAGGACTAGCAAACCACCAAGATAGATAGTAATAACTGCCAATGTTATCTTTTATTTATATTTTAATTTTATATGCAAACAAAAGGAAAATAATTGGTAGAGGAGCAGAAAGGCCACTGAGAATTGTGGGCAGTGTTAAGCAGACTTTTATAAATTTCACAAAACTTGTCAAAAATTAATTTGAAGGGCAAAATGGGCTGGCAGCTTTCTAGGTTGTCAAATAAGGACATTACAGAAAACAACAAACAAAAAAAACCATAATGTTCGTATGAAAAAGGACATTTTAGCAGAGAAAAGGATGGACATAATTTAAAGGTGAATATTTTAAAATGTATAAATTTAGCCTAAGAGAAAACAAAGAGATTTAAAAGATATAACCCTCCAAGGAGGAGACAACAGTGAACAGCAGATGCCAACACATTTTTGTAAAAGGAAAGCAGATGATGGACTTCCAGGTTAAGTTGGCAGACTGAACACACACAACTAATTTTTCTCCCTCCCCAAAACTCTACTAAAACAAGCATAAAGAAAATGTTGTTGTGTTCTGTTTTTAGCTCATAAACCACAAGGACAGAAGAAAGGAGGAAGAGATAACAGCAATAAAATTTTGGAAGCTGCAAAGAAGATGGAGGAGTGGTAACTGACTTTGTAAAAACAGCCAAATTACAAACCAGCAGTGCTGGCAACTTAGAACAAGCCCAATTTATACCATACAATCCTCAAAAAGCTCAGGGATGCCAGAACAAAGAGGGGGAGGGGAGACTAAAGCAAGAAAGGATCAGGTGAAAGCTGTGAACAGTTAGAAACCTGGACCCCATTCCTCCTCCACGCTACTGAGTGGCCCATCCTCAATGCAGCAGCTGATTGGAGATTTATTCTCTCAAGAGGATAAACCATACATGGTAGAAGACACAGGTATCCCAACAAAAAGAGGCAAATTATGTGGCCTTATATACTAAATGTTGTACCGCTCATTATTCAGCCCTCTTTCTTGAGTTCTCAGATCACTGGCAACCAAACTTCTATTCTCCAAGCACAAAACTGGAAGAGACTCTCTGGGAAATCTGACCAGACCAAAAGGAAAGACAGAGACACTGGAATAGCTTCAAACAGTCCACCTGAACCAATGGCTTCAATCTTGGCCACACAAGGGAATCACCTGGACGACTTTAGAAAATACTGATGTTAATCTATGGGGATAGAAATCAGAATAGTGGTTGCCTCTGGGCAGGGGGTGGGGAAGACAGAACAAAGGATATAAAGGAATTTTCTAAGGTTTTCACAATAGTCTGTATCCTGTGTTGGTGACACGGGAGTATAAATGACAAAAATCAAACTACACTTAAAATGTGTGTATCTTACCGTATGCAATTGACAAGCAGAATCTGAAATTTATACAGAAATGCTAAGAGCCACGAACTGCCCAGTGTTAAAAAACAAAGTTGGAGGCCTTATACTATCACATTATCAAGGCTTATTATACAGTTACATTAATTAATACAGTGATACTGGTGCAAGGATAACAAACAGACCAATAAAACAGAATAGAGTATCCAGAAACAGATACACTCTTAAACAGTCACCTGATTTATGAGAAAGTGCCACACAGTGCAGAGGGACAAGTATGGTATTTTTAAAAAAATGATGCTGGGTCAAAAAGATATCCACCTGGTTAAAAGTGAATCTTGACCCCTTACAAGCCATCTGAAATTTACTGTAAATTTTACACCTTAAATGTGAAAAGTAAAATAAAATAAAACTTCTATAAGGTAACATAGGAAAATATCTTCATATTCTTAGGCTAGGCAAGATTTCTTAAATAGGGCACAGAAAGCAGTACTCATAAAGAAAAATAGTAAATATATTTCATTAAAATCAACAATGTCCATCTGTCAAAAAAACACCATTAAAAGAGTGAAGGACAGAATGGAATAAGATAAATTATGTACAGTTTATAGATAGGGGTGTGTGTGTGTGTACACCTCCCAGAAAGGACTCATACCCAAAAAATTATAAATAAAAAAATAAGACTCAGACATCTCACAAAAGACATATAAATGGCCAATAAAAGATAAAACCACAACCATCAGGAAAATGCAAAATAAAACTACACTAATATATTACTGCACCTCTACCAGAATAGCAAAAATGTTTCCAACTGACAAGCATCAGCAAGAATGTGGGGTAATTGAATTACCATTCCCTGCTAATTAGCACAACCACTTCAAGAAAATGTTCAACAGTATCTAATACTAAAGTTTTATTATTCACATACCGCACAAACCAACAATTCCACTCCTAGGTATAAACCCCAACCTAGAAATATTCTGTTTCTTGACCTGTGATGGTATACTTAGTAAAAATTCTTTACCTGCACTCTTAGGATTGTGCACTTTTTCTGTGTATTATACTTCAATAAGTTTTCTAAGTTTCCTTGACACAAAGTTCTCAGAGACCTTAAGGCTAACATTTTAGAACAGAAAAGGAGTTTCAGGTAAACTCAAGAAAGTTTACTAATAAAATTAAAAAAAAAAAAACCAAAAAACCAAAAAACTCTTCTAACACGTATCAGTCCAGAACAAAGGTAAGTTTTTCTTGAACTTCAAGAAGCACTGGATTTCTTTCGGCGAAGAAAGGAGTTTATTATTCTACACTGTAAACCAAAGAAAAGATATCTTTGCAAGAAAATGCTGCTTTTCAAAGTCACCTCTAACAGCAATGGATAGGAGAAAAGCAAAGGAAACCATTGCAAAAGTTCTGGTTAACTCTTCGGTGAAAGGATGACAACTGACTTGATCTAAGACGCCCAAAAAACAGACAGACACAAAGAAATCACGGCAATTCTAAAGCAAACATCAACACCACAATCCAATCTACCGGAAATTCTGCGGTTAATTTGAGGCTTGCCCCGCTAGTCATAAGGTGATTCAGTGATGGTTACAAACGCTCTCCAAGTGCATCCTTGGGAGTCACCTAGCACACCTGGCTAGCCCATCACCTGCCTGGGGACTCTGCCTTGCGCAGAATCCCGGAGGCCAAATCAAGACGCCAACTTTGCAAGTAAGAGGAGCGGCGGTCTCACTCCATCAGGACACCCAGAGAGAACGGACTTCTGGCCTCGAGGGCAGGGGTGAAAGGTCAGTATCCCCCACAGGATTTGTGAGGAAGCACCCCCCAAGCTGCCCGGTCCCTCCACCTCCCTGGGACTCCACTGGAAGACCCGCTGGCGAGTTTCCTCCCCCGCGCCCACGGGAGGAGGGTCCCGGCCTCAGGGAACGTAGGCCCCGGCGAGGCCGGGCACGCCCGCCCCGCTCGTGCCGCAAGTTTGGTGGCGGCCCCCACTCGCCGCGCCTCGGCCCCGTCGTGCGCCCCGCAGAACCCGGGCTCGCGGCCCGTGCAGCCTCCGGGCCCGCCCGGCCTGGCGCGGCGCCCCTCACCTTGGAAACGTTGGGTGGACTCCACCGTAAACATTAACTTCCCATCCAGCCGGCAGCCTCGCCGCCGCGTCTCAGCGCCTCGGCCCCGCTCCGGCTCCGCGGGCCGCCTCCCCGCCCTCTCTCGAGCGTCGCGCTCGTTCGACAGCTCAGAGCCGCCACCGACCCTCACCCACCCTTCCGGGCGCCGCCGCTGCTTTAACTACTGCCCGACCCCTACCCTGCCCGCCCGCTGGCTCCTCCAGGGTCCGGCCGGCCGCGTCAGGAAAGCCCAAGGCGCAGGCGCGGCAGGGCCTTAAAGAGACCGGCCGCCTCTACCGCATAATGGGTTCGAGCAGGTTAGGGGCCGGGCGGCCGGTCGAGAAAAGGAGAAGCCGAAGCGATTGGGCCGTGGGGAACGGGGGCGGGGAAATCCCGCTCCCTCCTCCGCCTCTCTTTCAAAGCGCCGGCCCTCGGCCTTACGAATTGCAGACTTCCCCAGTCTCTTGGACCGCCCCTTGCATGTAAGAGCTGTTCAGGACACACCCCCTCAGGGGCCCGAGAAGACCCCCAGCTTGGAGCTGCGGGCCTCACGCTACCGCATCGCTCACGCGACTCTCAGGCCGCGGGAACGCGGCGCCGACGCACCGGCTTCCGAAAGGCTCTCCGAGCTCCCCGAGAGGTGACCTAGGTCACTCTCAAAAACAATAATCAATGTGCAAATAGCACTAGTGATTGCAAATCCCTCTACCTTCAGTCGTCTCGACGCACTGGGTTTATGCAGAGTCCGGCAGGGGGCAGAGCATGGGCACAAATATATGAAGTCCAGCCAGGCAACCATCCAAAGTCAACGAAAAAATTCTTAGAAGTACTTAGTTTGGGACAGAAACTACTCATTCCGGCCCAACTCCAAGAAAAACGGGCAAGAAAAATAATAAAGGTAATATAAATTACTTTCGTTATACATTTATAAATTACAAAATGACAGTAATTATCAGCACAAAAAACTCCAAGATTGTTTGCTTAGAAATTAGATAACCCCTGGTTATTTTCTGATATAAATTTGCAATCTCCAGAAGGGACTCCACTGTAGTAAGCATTTCAGAAAAAGAAAAACTCTCCATTTTTTTAAAACAGGCTCAGGAATTTTATGAGACAAAATTTTTCGTGACTTTTAGGTCATGCTGTTATTTGAAGTTAATTTCAATCAACAATTTTATTGAAACTGAATCCATTTTGTATAGGAAAGTTAAGGGACGTCTTGAAAATCTACTTTTCCCTCCTATATTACATCTATCAGCAAATCCTGTTGATTTTACCTCTGAAATTTTCCTTGAATCTGTTCTCTTGTATCTCCATCACCACTCTTGTCCAAGCTACCTGGGTGAGGGTGAAGGAGTGCCTAACCTACTCTTCTAAATGGCTTACCCATATGCACCCTAGCTCCTCTCTCATCTCTTCTCCACACAGAAGGCTATGTGACCCCGTCACTTCCCGGGTAAACCATTTTAATAACTTCCCATTCTCTTAGACAAAACCCTTAACTAACCCAGCCCTGCAGGTCAGGTGCCTTGCCCATCTCTTCTCTCCATTTCTTCTCACTGCTCAGACTACTGCTGTCTCTTCCATCCTGCTGTCTCTGTTCCAGCCACACTGGCCTCGTCCAATCCCTCAAAACTTCCTCCCTCCACAGAGCTTGTGCATATGCTTTGCTCAGTGCCTAGAAAGCTTTTCCAGCCTTCATCCTTCTGACCTCAGTCGGCTCTTGTCTCTACCTCTGAGAAGCTCCTTCTGACCTCCTCCCTTTGGTCCCTTCCTGTCACACAGTGCTGAAACTGTAGTTTTATGATTATTTTGTTGAATTTTTATTCCTCCCCCCCACCACTGGACGATTATTACATCCATAAGTCCAGGAGCTTGGTTTTCTTTGGATCATGGTTGCATTTCCATGTTTGTTCAGTATGTATTTGTTTAACTGTTGAGTGAAAATCACAGAATGTTAGAACTTGAACTAGATGTGCCTTAAAGATTACCTAAGTCATAGAAAGGTAAAATGTCACAATTTGACATTTGAGATCAGAATCTAAAAGAACTCCAATTATTTTTAAAACTAATTTTTTATTGTTTTACCTGGGCTGTCACAATATTCTTTGGGTAACCATTAAAATGGAGTTCTCAGAGCTCCTGGTATAAACCCCTGTGTTAATGATAGCTACGGGACAGGCCCACATGGAACTAATAATAACATTGGTTGCTTCAAGAGAGAAAAACTGGGTGCCTGGGAGACAGGACTTTTGACTGCCCTTTTGTACCTTTTCAATTTCCAACCATGTGAATATATTATCTATTTAAAAAGAAACAACACAATAGAGTGCTTACTGTATGATTTTATTTATTTGAAGCTCCAGAAAAGGTAAAACTCAATCTGTGGTAAAAAAAAAAAAAAAAAAAAAAAACATAACTGGTTGCCTCTGGCAGGGCATTTACTTGGAAGATACATGAGAGAAATTTCTGGGTGATAAAAATGGTTTAAATCAGGGCGCCTGGGTGGCTCAGTTGTTAAGCGTCTGCCTTTGGCTCAGGTCATGATCCCAGAGTCCTGGGATCGAGCCCCGCATCAGGCTCCCTGCTCCGCGGGAAGCCTGCTTCTCCCTCTCCCACTCCCCCTGCTTGTGTTCCCTCTCTCGCTGTGTCTCTCTCTGTCAAATAAATAAATAAAATCTTAAAAAAAAAAATGGTTTAAATCTTGATAGGGATGTGAGTTACAGAGGTGTGTTCATTTTGTCAAAAAATGGACAGTTAACATTTCATTATGTGAATTTTACCTAAGAAACTATATAAAAATAAATGAAACTTACTAATTAAAAAATAAGCTAACACACGATTGAGTACTCTCTGGGTATGAGTATTGGCAAGGGCTGTACATATGTAATTTCTTTTAATCTTCGTAGTATGGTCATGAAGCAGGTATTATTATAACCGCCTTGCATATGAGAAAACTGAGATTTAGTAAATACCAAGTAACTTGCCCCTATGTATACAACTGGAGAATGGTGAGGTAGGGCTTTGAACCCAGTCAGTCTAATGCCAGAAAGTGGTTTATGTATATTGTCCACTAGATCAAGAGCTTGGCAATGATTGAAATCATATTCTGTCTTAGGCTTCTCAGTAGCCCCAGTACTTTGCATAGTAGCTGTTCAGTGTATTTTGAATGAATGATAAAGAACAACCTTGGTGTTGATTTTATTGTACAAATTATATTTTTTAATTGGAACCATATATATACATATATATATGATGTACATACTTATATGTATATATAAGTATACAAGATATCTACTTCCTATATATATATATACATAATGTACACACACATATTCCAAATAATCTAACTAATCACTGCTGTGTTAAATGCCTGAGATATTTTATCTTAAATGGCCCAAGGAGAGATGCTTATATACCATTACCTCTGACCCTCTAGCAATCTCCTGGTTTACTCCTTTCCTTCACTCAATTTATTTGATGAAAGAGCTTACACTTTAACTTTTCACTGAAATAGCTCAATCCAACCAGAGAAGTAGCTAATTCTGATCTTTCACAAGTGCTTGAGCACTTGCGTAAGCGAAATTCTGCTGTGTGAATTCCACACCAACACCACCTCTGCTCCAGCTCTCTACCTCTCCACTGTTCACACTCTGGAACTTCAAAACAGAGGAAGCATGGGTGCAGTGGACAGTGGCACCCTCCTTGGAGACAGTTAAATTTGAGGGAAATTCAGTTAGCAAATCAAAAGTTTTCTGTGTTCTAATGCTGTACACCCTTGGCATTGATTAGTGTCAACTGCACAGGAGAGGGCTTGAGCTCTAGTCTCTCTAAACCTGGCAAGGGTTAAATCTCAGAACACCATGCTCTCAACTGCCAAAGGTGTTTTATAAGTCAGCCATGTGAGTCATTGCTCCCAGAAAGGAAGAGGAAAGGAGGCATTCTCCTGAGAGGCAAAAACTACCCAGTATACGGAAGAGGAACTCACCAGTGGAGTCAACCCCATCTGTGAACAACACTCCACCCTTGCCCTGGGCAGCTCACATTTGGGGTTTCCTTAGAGAACCAGGGCATCTCAGTTACATTCTAGGATTGCACTCTCCCTTACAGCAGCCACTAGCCGCATGTGATTGTTTACATTTAAACTTAAAATTTCAGGGGCGCCTGGGTGGCTCAGTTGGTTAAGCAACTGCCTTCGGCTCAGGTCATGATCCTGGAGTCCCAGGATCGAGTCCCGCATCGGGCTCCCTGCTCGGCGGGGAACCTGCTTCTCCCTCTGACCCTCCCCCATCTCGTGCTCTCTCTCTCTGTCTCATTCTCTCTCTCAAATAAATAAATAAAATCTTTAAACTTAAAATTTCAGTTTCCCATTGGCACGCACACATTTCAAGTGCTCAGCAATAGCCATATGTGGCTACTGGCTACTATCTTGGACAGCACAGTTAGAGAACATTTCCATCTCTCAGAAAGTTCTGGCAGCACTCTTCTAGAAAAAGGAGAAACAACACTCCATTGAGACTCCCAGCTAAAGTTCAAAATATCTTGCTTTGGAAAAATGAAGGCTCATAATGAAATAGGGAAAGCCTATTTTACTCGGCTTACTGCTTTCCACAACATGAATCCAAATTCACTGAAGCACCGAAGTTGTGGCCTCTCAATGTATTGAGGTTGTAAGAATGGCTTTAACCTCACTTCTACCACATTCCATTGTTTGCAAGGCACGGTATCTTAGAAAAGAACATTGTTAAGAGGCACAACTCTATTGCCATCTCTTGGCTCTTTGTGCACAGGTAAAAACTAGATCTGCCACAGGTGTGGTAAAAAACCAGCTCTCTGGCTTGAGAGTCTGGATATCATTTTTATATGTGATATTAGACATTCACACTATCAATCCAACAACAGCTTTTTTTTTTTTTAAGATTCTATTTATTTTTTTGACACAGAGAGAGACAGCAAAAGAGGGAACACAAGCAGGGGGAGTGGGGGAGGGAGAAGCAGGCTTCCCGCTGAGCAGGGAGCCTGATGTGGGGCTCCATCTCAGGACCCTGAGATCATGACCTGAGCCGAAGGCAGACGCTTAACAACTGAGCCACCTAGGCACCCCCAATAACAGCTTTTAAAATTGAGCCACCAAGGGGCACCTGGTGCAGCTAAAATAGTAATTCCACATAAACTATCCAATTATCTGGGAATTAGTAAGTTCTACATTCATGCAAGTGACTAGACTGTGACTAAAATTTCAGCATGCTTGCCAAATATGTGCTTTAACCTCTTTGA